TCCTGCAGACCCGGGATTGAGTCCCACATAAGGCTCCCTGCATGGAGCCTCCTTCTCCCTCTCCCTGTGTCTCTGCCTCTCTCTCTCTCTCTGTGTCTCTCATGAATAAATAAATAAAATCTTAAAAAAAAAAAAAAAAGGAAATGAACATACGCTGAGCAGTTAGGAAAACTCGATTCATTTCAAAGGATTGAAACAATGCAGGGCATATTTAGGGACTGCAATAGATTAACAGTTTATAGCCTCCCTTTCCTCAAGTTCATCACCTCCAAGGTGATAGTACCAGGACATGGAGACTCAGGAAGTGACCAGGTCATGAGTAGAGAGAACTCCCTCACCCCTGCTGCTGCACTGAGGACAGTGAGAAGCGGGCTGTCTATGAGCCAGGATATGGACTCTCACTAGACACTGAATCTACCCATGCCTTGATCTTGAGGACTTCTAGTCTTCAGAACTATGAGAAATAAACATCTGCTGCCTATTAGCCAGCCAGTTTATGGTATTTTGTGATAGCAACCTCAAAAGACTAAGACAGATACCTTCATGGAATTAAGCTGCAAATCAGCAAAAAGGTAACTAGAAAATCCCCCATACCTTAAGAAGTTTACTTATAAAAAACTTTGTGAATTTAAAAAAAAAAAAGTTACCACAATGAAAACTATGAAATATTTTTACATAAAAGAAAATGAAAATTTGGCTTACCAAACCTTGTGGGATCAGGACACCTGGGTAGCTCAGAGGTTGAGCATCTGCCTTCGGCTAAGGGTGTGATCCTAGGATCCAGGATCGAGTCCCACATCGGGCTCCCTGTGAGGAGCCTTGCTTCTCCCTCTGCCTATGTCTCTGCCTCTGCCTCTCTCTCTCTCTGTCTCTCATGAATAAATAAATAAATCTTTAAAAAAACACAAAGCTTGTGGGATCAATAAAGATGTGCTCAAGGGAACTTACAGCTTTAAAATACATATACTGGAAAAGAAGAAAGGCTAAAAATCAAATTAAGTATTTAGCTCAAAAACTAGAAAAAAGAACAAACAAAACACAAAGTAGATGGAAGAAAAAAAAAAGAGCAGAAATTAATGAAATAGGAAACAAATACTAAATAGAAAAAAAAAATCAATAAAGCCCAAAGTTGGTTCTTTGGAAAGACTAATAAAATAATCCCCTAGCAAGACTGATTAAGAAAAAGAGACAAAGCACAAATTATCATATCAAGATTTTTTAAAGGAGGTATCACAACTTATCCTGCAGATGACAAGGATATTATGAACCACTTTACACTTACTTGGAAAGTTTGAGTGGTCTGAACAAATTCCTAGGAAAAACAATGCCTTATCTAAATAAACACAAGAAGAAATACAAAAATCAGAAAAATCCTATTTCCATGTAGAAAAAAATGAATCTGAAACTAAAAATCTTCCCACAAGGAAAACCCTACAACCAGCTGGTTTTGCCAATCAATTCTTCCAAAAATTGAAGGAAGAAAACATAAGGCTCACACAAACTCTTCTGGGAATACAAAAGGAACACTTCCTACCTTGTTTTATGAGGTCAACACAACTTTAATACCAAAAACCCAACAAGGACAATACAAAGAAGTACAATCACAGACCAACCTCTCTCATGAATACAGATGCAAGAATCCTAAGCAAAATATTAACAAATAAAATCCTGTGAAAAGAGAATACACAGATATCAAGTTTGGGATTACTGTAGCATGGCAAAATTTTTTTACAGTTAAATCACCACATTAAGAAAAAAAAAATCACTTGTCCCAAGAGATACAAAAAATACATTTAAGAAAATTTAATAATTTAATTCATGATTTTAAAAAAATCCAAAAACTCTTGGCAAACTAAAAATAGAATTTTTATATTTTGATTAAAAAATATCTACCAATAAAGCCACAGCTGGTATCATATGTGATGGTAAAATGGTAAAATACTGAAAGTTGTCTTTCTGGTATTGGGAGTGAAAAAGGACACCTATTCTCACCACTTCTACTCAACACTGTACTAAAGATCCTAGACAGTACAACAAAGCAGGAAAAATGAAAATGGTTATTGCACTTGGAAAGGAAAAAGAGAAACTTATCTAAAGACACCACTTAGAGAAAGGCAAACACACATAAGAATGTAAAAAACATCTGCCATTTATATATGTATTCAAAATACATAAAAAGAACTCCTTCAAATCAATAAAAACCAAAAGAGGCACCCAATAAAAAAAATGGACGAGACAATAATTTCATGAAAGAAATCATCCAAGTGGCAAATAAACACACACAGAGACATTCCACCCCTGCTTACTGGTCATCAGGGAGCAGCAAGCTCACACCATACTAGGCTTCCTACCACTTGACACCCACCAGATAGCTAAAATGCAAGAACCGACAATACCAAGTATCAGCCACTGAGTGTTCACATACTGTGGGTGGTGGGTGAACAAACACACACACTCTCACTCAGCAATGCTGCTCCTTTGAGCACACCCAAAAGAAATATATATGTATCTGTACTAAAAATAAGCAAGAATAGTCAGGGGCAGCATTTATAAATACTTATACTCAGTACAAAGAATAAACTACCGTATATTCACACACTGAGTACTAGACAGCAATGAAAATGAACAAAATGACTTGAGGTGAAATAGATGTGACCCACAAACAATGCTGAATGACTATTTCATTTATATGAAGTCAAGAACACACCAAAACGGACAGACCAGGTGGTTCAGCGGTTTAGCACCACCTTCAGCCCAGGGCCTGATCCTAGAGACCTGGGATGGAGTCCCACGTTCAGTCTCCCTGAATGGAGCCTGCTTCTCCCTCTGCCTGTGTCTCTGCCCCTCTCTCTCTCTCTCTCTCTCTCTCTCTGTGTGTGTGTGTGTGTTTCTCATGAATAAATAAAATATTAAAAAAAAAAAAAGAACATACCAAAGCAATCAATGGTAAAAAATCAAGACCATGGGTAGCTTTGGGGCACAATTACTGGGAATGGGTAGTAGGGGGCTTCTGGGAAGCTTGGTAATGTTCTATTTCTTCATCTAGGTGGTAGTTAAAAGTATGTGTTCACTGAGTGAAAAAAGTCACTGAAACGTACACTTACGACTGTGAATTCTTCTGATGAGAGTTAAAATTTGTTAATGTAGATCATTACTTGCTTACACAGTGTGCTAGTAGTACAAATGCATTTACTCATATACCTATCTGGCCACACTACCAGCTACCAAACATGAGTCAAATATTGGGGAAAGGAAAGGTCCAAAAACAGTTTACTTAATTGTTCTGTAATGTTTCTGAAATACAAATCTCAGGTGCTCAGGCTGGGAGGCAGGCAAAAGGGGAGGCAGAGAGGAGAGAAGGCAAGAAGGCACTCTGGTGGGGAGGCAGGGAGGTGCTCAGGTGGGGAAGAAGCGAGTCAGGGAGCCCAGGAAGGCAGGGAGGCGGGTGTGGCCAGCGTTGCACTCTCCACTCAACGAAGAGCTTCCACAATACTAAGCGGTAGCTAAAAACAAATCACTGAGCGACTGTGCCACCCCTCTGGTGGGACAACCTTCACTGCACTAGACTGTACTGCACAAAACTCCTGTCCCTTCTGTTAGGCTGTTGTGTGTGCTCATTCTTTCAAAAGTCCACCTGATCAAATAAGTATTTGACATGCGCTTCAATGCACTGTCTCAAATTACATTAAAACAAATACAATCACAAATCAAAAAAACAAAAACTACTGAAAAATTTCCAAGTACACTAAAATCCTGGTGGAGCATCATTTGGCCCATGCTTTCGAGCTCATGGTAATAAAACCAGACCTACACAAAGTACACAATTCGTGAGGCTTGCCCGAGAAAAACCGTGATGGCTCCCCGATCCAACAGAAAAGGAGCACTACAGCACTAACGGCAGATTATTATTGCTAAAAAGGAAATGCAAACGTCTGGCTTATCAATCTTTCAGGAGAACCAGCTACAGCCAAGAAATGCATTCAGGCTGGCAATTACTCATTTACTAATTTAGCACTGCAGACCGACGGTGGGAGCACAAGCATGTGCTTATGCAGGCCTACCTGAAAGGACCACAAAGACGCCTATTACGGGTAACTCAAGTGGCACCTAGGCGGCTGTGAACACCCAAGTAACCTCTGTGTCTCCAGCATGCTCTGTCCCACTCGCCTTACACTTTCCTCTACCCTCTACCCTCACCTATCATGACGTCCTCACTCAGCTCCACAAGAAGAGGCTTTGAAACTAGTCCAAATGTCATATACTAAGATTAACGACTTCGGTGTCACTTCAAGCTTACAATTCTCATCGGCCAAGAAGAAAGTTCCGAAGGAATTAATCTCTGTCTCATATCCTCCACGACAAACTTCATTTATAAAACACAGGTGTTCTTAGAAAAGTGAACTGTAAAAATATCTTTATCTTTCCTGTGAAATCAATCCTATCTGTCCATTAAATTTCATTAGAAAATGGGAAATGTGATAAAATCCATAAGAAACACAGGTTCAGCAAGAAAGGCCTAAGACAACAGAATGGAAGGCAGCATGCAGCTTGGATGCCTCATGGCCCTTGTCCAAAAACTTCGGAGCACTGCCCCAAATTAAGGCAGAAGAAAGGAGCAAGAGTTACGAGGTGTTTAAGTATAGTGCACCACAGCTTGTCACAGAGGTTCAACCCTCGGGAACCCTCTCTGCACATGACTTACAGAAACCAGAACCACGGGCAGCCCGGGTGGCTCAGCAGTTTAGTGCCACCTTTGGCCCAGGGTGTGATCCTGGAGACCTGGGATCGAGTCCCACTTCGGGCTCCCTGTATGGAGCCTGCTTCTCTCTCTCTCTCTCTCTCTCTCATGAATAAAGAAATTAAATCTTTAATAAAAAAAAAAAAAACCCAGAACCACTATTTCACAGACTCATGTAAAACATGAACACCATGAAAGGTGACACCATAATTTAGAAGGGGAAAGAAAGATCTGTAAAGTTCCAGGTGAAAGGCATCCATACCTGTGGAAGTGCAGTATTGAGCTGCCTCTGCAAGGAATCTCTTTCATGCCCGACCTCATGTAACTTCCCCTGGGTTAATGCCAGCGTTTCCTGAGTCTCTCTCAGTGTGTCCAGAAGACGGTCCCTCTCTTCCAGCATGGACACCATCAACTGTTCGAAATGTGAATCTGCATCTGGCTGCGAAGGAGAGCTGGAACCACGGCTCCCACTTCCTCCTGGCAGGCCTTCTGCTTCACTGATGGTCGGCATCACCTCGCACATCATCTTGAAATAAAACACCCAGACTCCAGTCATTAAGTGCAAAATAAAGGCTCCCACAAACCTGCAACTTTATTAGCTCTCCGTGCTGCTCATAAAATGAAGGTTGACAGCCTCGTTATTCTCAGATCTGACTGTTACACTCTGAGTATAAGTAAGCGGAAAAAAACATACACAGGCGAATCCTGAGTGTGGGAACAGATTAATACAAGGGATAGTGCAGGGCAGGGTAGAGACCCCACAGACTACCCGTCGCGTACAGAACAAACCCTGGGGCATTTTGTCTGCAAAGCTGTACTTTCTGGTTGTTGAAAACAAGTGTGCTTCTGTAACTTACTTTTTCCCCTTTATTTCCCGGTTCGGGGAGAGAAAGTCAAAACACACGCCACCCAATCATGTTTCGGGAAAAGCACAGAAGGAGCATACAGCCAGTAAAACTGACAAGTACAAAATGCATCAGGCATCTTGGAGGAATGTGTGCAGTCAGCTCCCGAGGAGGACGGCGGCTCCCTCGGCTTCGGGCTGGACTGGGTGGGTGAGCGCCCAAAGGAACCGGATTCGTTAAGGGCCGGGAAAGGTGTTTTTCAGTGGCTGCAAAAGGTGTGACGGGCAGGCAACCCAACTTACGTAAGTTTACGGCCGGAGGGGGGGAAAAAAAAAAAGAAAAGTATTAGAAAGGAAACTTGCACACCGGGCACGGAGCAGGTCGGTGCGGCTGCGGACGGCTAGGAGGGAGCGGAGGAGGAAGCAAGACGGAAGAAAGGACAGGGAGGAGGACGGAGGAGAAGTGAAAGGGGAGAACAGCAGGCGGGCGCCACGGGAGGAGGCTGGGGCCGCCGGAGCCGCCGGAGCCGCCGGAGCCCCGGGGGCGGCGACGCCGCCACCGCCACCGCCGCGCCCTCCGCGCCCCTCGCCCCGCGCCGCGCCGCGCTGCAGGGCCCCGGACCCCGGACCCCGGACCCCGGACCCCGGGGCACCGCTGACAGCTGGAGCGCAGCCCGGGCCGCGGCTTCCCCGGCCACAGGTCCTCGGCCCCCGAGCCCCGCGCGGGGCTGACCCGGGGCTGACCCGGGGCCCCCGGGGCGCCGCGGCCCCAGGAGCCCGGCCTCGGGGCGCCCCGCCGGGGCCCACCGCCTCCGCGCCCGGGGGCTGACAGCGGGCGCCGCCGCGGGGAGGGGGCCGCCGCGGGGAGGGGGCCGCCGCGGGGAGGGGCCGGCGCCCGGGCGCCCTCGGCCCCGCTCCGCCCCAGCCTGCCTCAGTCTCCCGCTCCTTACCTTGCTCGCCGGCGGGAGCGGGCGAGGAGGCTCCGCGGCGCCTTGCGGGCGGCTGCTCGCTCCGGGCGAGCTCGGGGCCCGACGAAAGCGGCCCGCGCCCGCGCCCGCCGGCCCCGGGCCCGCAGCCCCCAGTCACCAAGGCCGGCCCGCGGCCGGACACTGCCTGAGCGCAGGAGGAGCGGGCCCGGCTGCGCGTCGCCGGCGTCGACGTGCCCGACGTCGGGCGCGTCGGCGCAGCGTCAGCGCCGAGCGCCGCCGGCCGGCCCCGCCCCCCCGGGGGTTGGGGGAGCGCCGCGGAGGCCGGACGCGCAAGCCCCGCCCCCTCGAGTGGGCGGGGCGGGTCTCCCGGCGCCCATTGGCCAGGTGCGGGCGGAGCCCCGCCCCCGGTCCCGGCCCGGCCCCGCCCCCCAGGTAGGGGCCTTCTCCGCCGAGCCGGAGCTCACCTACCGCGGCTCCGGCCGCCCGCCCGGAGGCCGTTTGCAACGTCTACTGGGCATCGGGTTCGGAGCCAGCGCCTTCCTCGAGGCGGGTGCGCCCCGGCGCGAGACACCTGCTGGCTGCCTCCTCGGGGTCGCACCCTCCTCGGGACCAACCGTTCCAGGACTTTGAAGGTCGCGGGGTGGGGGTGTCTGCGCGGGGCCCTCACCTGCGATGCCCGCGGATGCCCAGTGGGCACCGTTTGATGTGGAGATTCCTGGGCGCGGCGTGGGGAGTGCAGGCTTGTCCCCGCGCTGTGGCCTGGGCAGGTCAGCGGAGCCCGCGGCGCTCAGCGCCCCATCTGTAGGACGTGAAAACGACATGGCCTTACTCCTGGGCTGCTAGAGCAAGTGGGATCCCACGGGGGTCGGTTCTATTCACGTCCTTATTCATACTCACTCATTCATTTCCTTCTTTGGGCTACTTTGTGCTTTCCAGGTACTACATCATGAATGCACATTATTTTTATCATTAGGGAAGCCCCCTCCCCCCCAATAAATCGTTCCTTTAGTAAAACCTAGGCAAACATAAATCATGGAAAATAGCTTTTGGGAAGCTAAAATGCCTTTTCTGTGTATCTATACCACCCAACTGAACTATTTCCCCAAAGTATTTATCCGAAACCTGGTTTAGAGGTGGAGTGGCACCCTTGTAAGGCTTAGTCAAGAAAACGAGCAGGGAAAATGGTTTTGCTCCAACTCTCCCGTCGAAGGCTTTGATAAAGAAAACCCAGGAATGTGGGAGGGGAGGGGATAGATAGATCAGTACTATGGCCAGGGTCGTGTTTTTACAAATGTGCCCACCAGCCTCAGCTCTCTCATGATGTGGTTGGTTGTCAACCATACGCATGACCCGGGCCACCCCTCCTAGTTTCTAGAGATGGCTTTCTAGAGCTCCTTTCTAAGCAGCTCGGGAGGAGTATTCCTCTAAGATCGCAGTGTGACCTAGCCTCTGTCCTAGAGATCTGGATGTGTCCCAGATCTATCAAGAGTATGGAAAACAACCTAATGAATAGTGTGACCATACAGTTCGGGGAAGGCCTGAGCTGGGGTGGGTGGCAGAAGATGTGGCCCTCTTCCTCCTCTGTTCAAAAGGAGAAACTAAGGCCTCATTTCCTTTCGAATCCCCAAAAGGACTTGCCCACAGGCACCCAGTTAGTTTAGCGTTGGAACTGGAGCCATGAATGAATGGGAGCTTTTGATCCCTGACCCAGTCGCTATGCTGTTGTGACCAAGGAGTTGTCTCTTTAAGGGACAACCAAAGAGTAAGATTTCTATCAGTGAGGCTCCAGGGCTGCCCAAGTAGTCCGGTCGGTCCCCTGCGGAAAGAGGTGGGGGCCCTGGGCTGGGGGACTTCAGCCACTAGCGTCAACCCTGTTGAGGTTTCCTATGTGTCCCCGAGAAGGTAAGCAATCAGTAAAGAAGGAGAGAGGGAAAGAACAAGAACCTTTGAAAGAGTACTTACATTTCCAATTTCCTATTCAAAGTATTTCGTACCACTTGGCTGTTCCTGTATCCTACCTACGATCCGGGAAGGAAACGGAGATCCAAGTGGTCAGTAAGCTGGGGAGCTCACCAACCAACTGTTTTAGTTGCCATGGCAGTTCTAATTCTCATTACGAGGCAATACCGGAATGTTGATCCATGGGTGAGGCAACTGGGAGGTGGGTTGATGAGTGTCCATTTCTGAGAGCACAGATGGGAAAATCACATTTGCAGAACATTTGTGGAGACCCCTTCCTCCATGTAAACTCACTTGACCTTCATAGGTGTTTTCTATATCCGTTTACCATGAACACACTGAGACCCCACAGATGTGGGGTGTTTCTCTTTTCACTGAAGCTGGGTTTGAACCTAAGACTGGCTCCAAAGACAGTTTTCCTGGGACATCTGGGTGGCTCAGTGGTTGAGCATCTGCCTTTGGCTCAAGGCGTGATCCCGGATTTCCAGGATTCAGTCTCACATCGGGCTCCTTGTATGGAGTCTGCTTTTCCCTCTGCCTATGTCTCTGCCTCTCTCTCTCTGTGTGTCTCTCATGAATAAACAAATAAAATCTTAAAAACAAAACAAAAACAAAGACAGTTTTCTTGAGGCTACATCAAAAAGTGTCCCCAGGCCCCCAAAGCAGGGGACAAACCCCATGTGCTGGACCACCAAGACACCGACCCCAGTGCCACTGAGGGTCTATGGGCCTCTCAGCCGCCTCATCCCAGCAGAGTGCTAGGCACAGGGAGTCACCAGCTCTCAGAGCATCCCAAGACTTCCCACACACAGGCATGAAGACTTCTGTGCCCTCCTTCTTTATAATTATATTTTAAAGGCAAGTCATAAAGCTCTTGCAACTTGTTTCTCTTGACAACTTCATTGTGCTCCTCAAATGGAGCCATTCATAACGATGTCCGGCTATCATAGGGAGAAGGGCCCAGAGAGGTATTTCAAACTCCCCCAGGGCCAGGCTGGAGCCCCAGCCCTTCCTTACCTTTACCTTGACCTCGGGCAAGGTACGTTGTAACCTGTACTAAGCCTCAATATCCTCATCTGTCAGACAGGGATGATAACAGTCACAGGAACCACCACGATGGGACTTTGGGAGACTCATGGCTGGAAATAAGAGCTGACAGCCCTGGACCCCCATCAGGGGTGACCTCCCTGTCTGGTCACCTTTCCCCTCTTTGAACGATGCTTTCACACAGCACTTATAAACATAGACTCTGGAGCCCGGTGTCTGGTTCAAACCTTGGCTCTGATTCTTTTTGCCTTGGCTGCGTTCTCATAGATAAGTTGCTTGACCTCTCTGGGCTCAGTTTCCTCATTCCTGAAGTGATGATGATAACGCCGTCTCGGAGGGTGGCTGTGAGGGGGACGTGAGTCTGGAAAGGCTCTCTGGGAGATCATCATCAGCGGAAGTCCCTTGTATCTGGGCCCTGCCGATCCCCACTGGAGGGAAGCAGGATCGGTCTGCGTCCACTGGCCTCTCATTCCCCCTTGTCCCAGATAGGCTGACAGAGGGCCTGGGCACCTGTTCTCACCATGCCACATAAAGGACAGTGTGCAGGGTCTTCTGGGGCTTCCCTCCATGGTAAATGAGAAAGCCTCAAGGTCACCACCCTCTCCAGTTTGCAGCATGCCCTGTGACAGCCATCTTGAGGCCATGAGATATCCTGAGACACTTCCCAACGTGTTTCCAGACAGGAATTTCTTCCCACCATCTCTGAGGAGGATTATGTATTTCCAGACCCCAAATGGCCAGGAAGACTGGTCAAAAAAATCTATAAAGAGAGGGGGCACCTGGGTGACTTGGTCAGCTAGGCATCAGACTCCTGATCTCAGCTCAGGTCTTGATCTCAGGGTTGTGAGTTCAAGCCCCACGTCGGGCTCTATGCTGGGCAGATAGCCTGGTTTAAAAGAGAAAGAAAGAAAGAGAGAGAGAGAGAGAGAGAGAGAGAGAGAGAGAGAAAGAAAGAAAGAAAGAAAGAAAGAAAGAAAGAAAGAAAGAAAGAAAGAAAGAGGGGCACCTGGGTGGCTCAGTGATAGAGTGTCTGCCTTTGGCTCAGGGCATGATCCTGGGGTCCTGGGATCGAGTCTCACATCAGGATCTCTATAGGGAGCCTGCTTCTCTCTCTGCCTGTGTCTCTGCCACTCTCTGTGTCTCTCACGAATAAATAAATAAAATCTTTTTTAAAAAAGAAAGAAGGAAAAGAAATCCAGAAAAAGGGAATAGTATGGTAGGTAAGTCTCTTTGTAGAGTTAAACTTGATCACCAAAAAGGGGCTAGTGGTTGATCCCATCAAAGTGAGGACACGAAACGCTGCCACATGGAGTCACCTGGCAGGACGAGGTTGCCACTGGGAGCCTGGGAGCCGCAGAGAAGTGGGGTTCCTGGCACGTGAGCCGGCTCCAGTCTCTTTTGCTTGGGAGTGCGGCACAGGGTGAGTGCTGGTGCTCAGCCTGGCCTCTGCCACTGGTGACTCATTCTTGCAAATAAAATAAATATTAATGAGTTTATACATAGAGTCTACTTCAAACAAAGCCATGAGTGGTGTTCTCAGGAATAAGCAGATCAAGTACTTGAATTGGCAACGTCGGTGCCTGTTTCTGTGAGCTTGCTGAGGGATCCAAACGGTACAGGATCTACATCCCTCTGGATAGTACTTGCTGGCATTTCCCAGTGTTTGAATATTTACTATACTCTATGGTTTCTGGTCAAGCAGATGAAATAGTTGTATGTGTTTTTTTTTAAGATTTTATTTATTTATGAGAGAGAGAGAGAGTGCGCGCGAGAGAGTGAGCTCACAAGAGGATGGGGCAGCAGGCCAAGGGAGAGGGGGAAACAGACTCCCTGCTGAGCAGGGAGCCCAACGTGGGACTTGATCCCAGGACCCTGAGATCATGACCTGAGCTAAAGGCATACACCTAACTGACTGAGCCACCCGGTGACCCTAAATAGTTTTATCACTAAAGAAATCACCTTTTGAGTAAGAGTTGAGGACATTACACTGAGTAAAATAAGCCTTTCTCAAAAGGACACATTTCACCCAGAAGAGGTCCCTGGTGTGGTCAGCTTCACAGAGTCAGAGAGTGAATGGTGGTCACTGGGCCAGGGGAGGGAAGGGGTCAGTGTCTCCTGAGGACAGAGAGTGGACAGTGGTCACAGGGCTGGGGGGACAGACAGAGTCAGTGTCTCACAGGACAGAGGTTCAGTTTGGGATGACGGAA